ATTTCCATGTGCCCGAGTGAATACATTCTATATGAAGGCAATAGAATATATCTGCTACAGTTTTAAGTTCAAATAAAGAAAAAGGTTGAGTAAAGTAAAGAATAAAAAAATCAGTAGGAAAAAGACCAGTTTCTGAATATTTATTGGTGTATTAAGGGGTTCTGGACACTGTTTCTAGAGCTCACATAAAGGCAGCTGAAAATTTGTGGAGCTTCTTTAAATGATGCCTGCATGAAACTCGCCACCCATGATTTCATTGCTTTTGAGATCAGTGTCTCATAGAAATGTGTCACAAATTGGTATAATTCTTGCCGAAAGATATGTTTAGACATGTGCATGTATAATAATCATACGATTAGAGATTCTGGAGTACGTTTGGATGTACTAAGAAAAAGGTCTAGCCTTTTTTTTGGGGGGGGGTGGAAAGGAGAAATGAAAAACACTTATCTTGTTATTGAGAGAAATGTAAAAAGAGTTCCATGTGTCTCATTTTTGAAAGGCCTGTAATTCAGCCATCTTAATAACATTATGAGCTTCTTAGAAAACTGGTGTGGTCAAGCTTATACAGTAGCCACTCACAGAAAGGAAATGTAAATGGATTAGCATGAACCCCTGTGCTCATGGAGCCCTGTGCAATTACCCATTGTGGCCACTTGTTAAGAAGGCTGTAGAAACTGTATTGCACCAGATGGCGCTGTGTACGCTTGAATTCTTCGGACTAGTTCAGTACCTTGATGATTGCGAAAGAAGTAACACCAACGCAAAACATTCACCAAAGTTTATCTGTGCTTCTCTTTGTTGTAAATGTATTTAATTGTGTCGTCAATAAAATATAGAGAAAATGATAAAAGTGGTGAATGCGTCTGACAGGTAAGTGAGATTTCTTTATATATTGAATTGAATTGAGTTTTAGCGACAAAGAATGTAAATGTGTATTTACAAATCTTTTTGGTGTTGAAACCCGGAATTGAACCAGGGACCTTTAGCTAGGAAACATAGTGAGGGAAAAATTTATTATATAAAGAGAGAGAAAACTGTTCTTCAAAAGGATATTACTGAAAATATTAATAAATTAGCAGATGAAGCAGAGACTAGTAGAAATATTGATTTGTGTACTATAGCAAAATAGGAGGAAATTAGTATAAATTAGCTAAAAGATCTGAAAATTAGAAAACGCATAATTATTTTGTTGTGTTATAAATGTTTTGTACCTTTTAATGTGTAATTTTTCTTATAGATTTTTAAAACCAATGTAATTAATTATATGTGTAATTATCTGTTATTTTAAACTGTAAAATTTCTTTAGATTGTGACTTTAATATAATACTTTGTAACAAACGTTTAAAAAAGTTTTTTTATAGAGACTAAAAATCTTCTGTAAATCTTCTGTAAAATATGTGTGTAAATGTGAAATATGAACATCAAAAAATTTCTGATTTAATGTTAATTACTTGATAATATCTAGAAATTAGTATTATTTTAAAATTAGTTTTATAACTAATTTAATAATAATAATGCATTCTGCATACACGCCTGTTTACTTTTTAGAATAGTATTACAAAAGTGAAGTCGACTGCATAAGTAATTGCTTTAATTCAGTCGATTCCCATTTATTGATAGGCCTTTAATTTTTTTTTATTGATGGCCCTTAAAATAAAAGTATGTAACTTCCTCATACAGAAATGTATATAAACCCTATCGTGCTGCTTACTTTTTATTATTTCTGACACAGATTATCCTTTCTTCATGTAACTAAACTGACTCTCACCTGTGACAATATTGTATTTTGTAAACAGAATGTATTCAGTGTAGTTAACACTGACTAAAATTAGTGTGATTCAGTGTAATTAACATTGACTCAAGTTTAAACTACACCCTTCTTTGATGATGAGACTTGTTATTCTTGCTGTTTAGGAGAGTTGTGGTCGGTGATTTCCGCTTCTTACTTTGATTCATTTAAACCTTCACTCTTATTCCTTTTTTCAATGTATGGAAGTTTTAATATTATTTCCATTTATTTTGCAAATTATTTACAATTTGAAAATGATTCTACATTATACTGAGGTTGAAATTAAGAAGCTGATGAATGAATTAGATGCTGAAAATTTTGCAGATAATAATTCAAGTTTCAAAATCGAAATTACTAAACAGACTTATTTGTAAAACATGATGAAATCTGATAACATTAGTGAAAATACCACATATAAGTAATAACAGATGAACATGAAACATTAGTGAACAGTAAATTAATAATGACATGAAACAGTAAAAAGAAAACTACCTTTGAAATGGGAAATTTCTGGGTTGGAATGATATTGCAAATATTTAAGCCTTTATGGGGCATGTTTGTTGGTTTAAAGTCAGTTTTCAAAGTGTAGAAAAGAGTATAATTTTTCTTTGATGCGATCTTAGATATTTTGATGGAGCAGGCAAATCATTATTCTGAGTAAGTATTCTACTTTATGATATTTTTTAGAAATGGAAATATACTGTTGAAAAGGTCACTACAAATTTGTAAGAAAAGTCAAAATATTTGGATATTTTTGCTGATAGAAACATGTTGATAAAGCCAGCCTCTTGTGTGATTTACCATTATTCAAATAATCAGTGACCTAAAGTTACTTGTGCTGCTGTTTTAATAAACTGCAAAAGTTTAATACAGTCAAAAGTCGTTAATCCGGACTCGTCGGGACTTCAGCGATTCCAGATTATAGATCATCACTTTAAATCTGGTAAGATGCCATGCAGAAATTACAAAATTAAAAATATGAAACCTTAATTTATGAAATAAAGAACAATTATGATCTAAAGGGTATCAAAATTTACAAAAAGAAAAGGCTTAATATTTATTTGTTTACTTTATTAAACATTTCTTCCAAATCATTCCCCCCCCCCCCCCGCAGAGCAGCGTGAAGTTGATAAACAGATTTTGGATTTCGAAACATACTTTCACTTTTTAGATCTTTTACATATTAGTAAATATATATCGAAAATTCTATTTGACATAATCGAAAGTTCAAGCTTGCTTTTATAAAATTGCTCTAACAGTCTGCAAAAAATAATAAGCCGGATCCAATTCGAAGATTAAGGAACAACACAATCTGCAACATTAACTGAATTAGATAATTTTAGCTTAGCTTATACCATCCATTATACATTAAACGCGCATGCATAAACGTATTATGCGCGTGTGCACATGCATATTTGCAGCCGTAAAGGTCTTACGCGCACACCTCAACGCGACGCATGCGCAGAAAGTTTGTAGCTTTGAGGCCCGGATTATAGATCATTCCGGATTATGGGTGTCCGAATTAACGACTTTTGACTGTATTGGAATATAATTCTGGTTAATCTTTAGTCAGTATGGTTGATGAAATTATATTACTTATCGACAGGTTATAAAGTGGAAATAAATTCGTGTGAATAATATTTTAAGTAGGATGCTAACCATGTAAGGAGCTTTTGCTATATGGAAAAGAACAAAATTTTTGCTTAGAAGTTATTGTTTGTGCAATAAATCGTAAATAAAAATGGGTGCGATGATAGACGAGTAAGGGAATTGTTGCATTTTAGCCAGTTAAAATTTTTTTTTTTTTTTAAGTTGCTGTAACTTTAAGAGTAAAGATTGATAATCAGCTCTGTCAGAGTTGCTTATTAATCTTCACTGGTTAATTTGAAAATGATGTACTTGTATTGACATCCATTAAAACTTTAGAGCTGGCTCTTATAGGCATGGTTCTGGTACAAATGCGTGCAAGAAGATAGATGCTGCATGTCTCAAAAGTAATTTTAGCCTGAAAGATGGCAAATATCTGTGTTCATGTTCAAGTAAAACATCTGTATTTCAATAAAAATTAGTATTCTTTCCCCACTGCAAAGGCTGCAGTATTTTTTTTTTTTTTTCTTTGATTTCTCAGAAAATGCTTTTTTCCCAATAAATGGGAAAAACTATAGAAATTTCTAGAATTTAAAACAGAATATTACTGACACCTGTAAAAATGTTGTAGACAATCTGTCTGAAACAAATATTTATATTTTCTAGCCTTAAAAAGAAAGTTTTAGTATTATTATTATTACTTTCTTGCTTGTAGTATAGTGGGTTGGAAATCAGATGTGTAGTGGCCCAGTTTTTGCATAAAAAATAATTATTTCTCATGCAATAACTGGGTAGTGTAGTGGCCCAGTTATTGCATGAGAAATAATTATTTTTTATTTCATATATTTGTTCATGTGTTTAATTATTTTATAAAATTAACTTTAATATTTGTTAATATTCATATTTATATTTCTTTTATGCTGAATGGCAATAAGTAGTTCATATTTATATTTAAATTTCTTTATGCTGAATGGCAACTAGTTCTAGTTCTAATTCATGATTGCTAGGTTTTGGTTTCAAAACGTTGCTCGTAGCGTCGCATTTCAATAGCCGGAAAATAAAATGCAATAACTTAGCTATTTGTTTATAATTCATGCTGTTCCTAGTCATAAATTAATTTTAAACATTAGTAGCCAAGGCTACAGATCTGCTTTACTGAAAAGTTTGCTAAATGAAATAAAATTACAGCTCTTAAAAATAACTTTATTTTTGAATCTTTTGATTGTAATGGTAAAAGTTTAAAAAAAGTATGACTTGCTTTAATAAATTATGTAAGAGTGAATAACGAACAGCTGTAATAATGAGCAAGAAAAACCTAGTATTCCAAAAGTATAATTTTGTACATTTAGACTTAATAGAGAAATTGTATCATCTTGTAGGACAGAATCATCTCTCTCCAGAAATATTGCCGTGCCAACATTCTCCATTTGCTGAGAAGAAATTAAGCTAAAGAAGTGAAAGTTATGGTTCCCTTAGTATTATTTGTTATATGCATATTTGTCAATATTAGGATAAAATTAACATTTGAAAAGTTTTCAGATAAAATGATAGTACACTTAATTTAACTGTGTTATTTTTATAATTAATAAAGTTTTTAATTATATAAGTTTATTTAATTAATTAATTTATTTATTAGTGTATTTATTTTAGCAACAGCAGCAATAACAGTGGAACAATCTAATGAAGAGGATTCACATGCTTTGACACCAATGCAAGCAATTCGCTCAGGTTTGGCATGGCTTAGAGGAACAGAAGAAAGCTGCTCAGAAATCACTCCTGATGTATGTTTTGTAATATTTTTTAACTTGTAAAAGATTTTAATATTATGTTATAACATTTCTGCTGACTTTATTTGGTTAAATTAATGTATGTTTACTTATTTTAATGGTTGAGTTTTGAGGTTGAGGAGAATTTTTATAGAAAATTTTATATCTCAAGTCTGGTTGCTGAGAACTTTGATAACTGTCCAACAAAGTTAGAGAAGAAACATGACTAAACTTTAGCCATGTTTTTTTCCATTGTCATATAAAACAAAATTGGTTTAATCCTAATATATGATACACACGGGATTTGGCGACATTGTAATGATCAGTAAACAGGTCATTTTGGTATTAGTGACAATTTTCAAAATCATGCAAAGGCCGTATTGTATACTAGAATTTTACCACAAAATCTTGTAAATTTTTTTTCTTTTTAATAAATGCCCCATTTGTCATTTTGAAGTAAAATAAAAAATAGTAATCATAATCTAGGCTTACCATTTAATACAGCCATATTTGCCAAAATATTGTTGATTATTGTAATTCATTTTTTAATCTTTTAATACTTAACTTTGTTTTAATTTTATTCGTATCATTTAATATGATTTCTTCCTTCTAAATTTATTTGTTGTTAGTTAATAATGCTTTCAAATGTCAGGGAATTTTCTCTGGCGTACTGCTGAAACTAATCACTTTTTTGTCAAAGCTAATGATAGACATAATTTAAAATAACAATGCCTATTATGCATTTAATACATATCTTCAAGTATCAGATATTGTCACATGGCAAAACAAGGTAACCAAAAGAAAGAAAAAACGATTCTTACAGCTGTTTTTAATAGTTACAAAAAGTACTTATTTTGCTCAAAGTAAGGATAAGATGGGTAAGTCCATCAGTAAAGAATAGGACCTCCTTGGACCTATTGCATATTTGGTATCTGTTATGCATTGCTGCCCACTAAACATCTGAGGAGAGCTTGAGGAATTCTCTTGGCAATTTTGTGTTCCTGTATGGTTCAAAAAGGATTCTGTTTTTGAGCTTAAATACGCTTAGTTCATCACAGGCATATTATATGGGATTTAGTTCCAGAAAATACACAGGCCATGTTGTGTGCTCAGTACCTTTCCCTGCTAGTGCATCAAGCACTTCATCTGTACTGTGTGGGTGGGCATTATCATCCATCAAAGAAAATCTGTACCAACTGCACTATGGAAAGTATGGCTATGGTCCAGAAGAATTTCTCTGCAACACTGCTGATATGTCAGTCTGCTGCCCAGTGGCAGGTATGCAATACCTGGCAATATGTAATATGCCCTGATGAATTCATAGGAGCCAGCCTTGTTTCAGTCAGTACCTCTGTCTTCTTCAAAGATGTGAAGAAGGATTCTGCTTTTGTGCATGATACCTATTTGTATAGTTACTCCTCGGTTATAAAGATCACTTTGTGACGGTAATGAATTTACCCTCTCCAAACTACCTGGTGTCCAGAATCACTGCTGATAGTGAAGTGAGATTCATCAAGAGTATGACTCAGGGTCACCAAGGCTGAGCCCTACAAATATGTTCCTTACACCTATGTAATCCTTGTGGACAACGGTGTGCTCATAGCAGACTGCATGCATGACCCAGGAGAATTTAGTTGTAATACTACTGCGATGTCACTGTACCTCCATCAAAGGTGTGAAAAGGAGTTCCGTTATTGTGCATTATACCCAGCCACATAATTACCCCTTGGCTATAGTGATCAGTTCCCTAAACATTCTGAGTAATAGATAGTAATTCTCATTTTGCCTATTGCTATGGCAACTTGAGCGACATTTTCTTCTACCTCAAGATATCTAACTACTCAAAAACAATTTTATGCTTTCAAATGATATCTTAACATTCTTCAGCTAGTACGTGCTGTCAAAAATGAAAATTTACAATCACATTCTCAGAAAGATGAAAAATGGTATTTTTGTCTAATGTTATCATTTGCAGTTAGAATGAGGAAACAATGAAAGTGCACTCATTTTTGTGCAGATTAGAGGTCATGCTCTACAACAGCCTCTACACTTATTTTTTCTGTGATTGTGCACCTCTCCAGAATGAAATTTGCATATATCAGTTGCTACTTAGCAATTGTCAAGCAGTTCAGTATTTGAAAACTTTAAGAAATTTTGTTACTATAAAACCTCTGGCTGCTCATTCCACGATTTCCGCGGGTATGTGTTTTTCTTGCTTTATTGAGGAGCGCATCCCGTTTTTTCGCCGTTTAACGACTGAAATAAATTATATACAGTATTAGACATTTAGTTTACGTTTTGGCCAACAGATATCGTTAGTTGTCCACTAAATTGCAGCATTTGAAGGCATGTGGTATTACTGCTCAAACTCCACTTTTTGCGCTTTTTTCTTACAGAAATGGCTGCTGGAAAACATTCAGCGATTATCTTGATTATCTAATTAAATTATTGAATTATTAATTAGATTTATTGATTAGATTAATAATTAAATTGATTATTAATTACATTTATTGAATCTGGTGCAAAGACTGTGAAGTTGGACTTTGCCTTGAACCCTGTTTTGAACTGTATTTCTTAATTAATTGTATTAACTGTATTTAAACAACTGTATTTCTAAGGTATTTTTTCCTCGGTGCTTTTTATTTTCTTAAATTGTATATATTTTACTTTTTTATATTATGCAATAAATAGAAATGGACTGTAATTCGAATGAAATTTATTTTAAAAAAATTTTTGGGAGTCTGAAATTGGTACATATAAATTGGTAAAAATAACAATTATACCAACATCTAAAATTGTTTTTTCTGGCAACTTATTTTCTCATGATAAAAATCTATATAAAAAATATTTTCTAGAAAGGAACAATGCATTTTTCAATTCTCCAATATATATAGATTTAAAATATGGGGGGATGCACAATTTTTAGACCGATTTTGGTCCACAAATTGAGCAGTCAGAGGGTTAAATAAATTGCAATGTTTTTGCTGACCTTGGGCCATTTTCTCCATATCTGCATAACATTAGCTGCAAAGTGCATATGTGGTCAGTGAGAAATATTTGATTGGCAGCTTGTTATTATACTTGTTACTATTATGTACTTTAATATATATTACTTTAATATATATTATTGGAGATGCATTACTTAATGTTGTGATGTGCCATGTTATTCTGTTATAAGATATTGCTTTTAAACATCACCAGAGAAGGATTTTTATGTAAGAAGATAAAGTGTAAATTGTGGGGGTGAAACTGTGCTTTTGTATTAGCCTTCAAAAGTAGTTTACATCTTTTTAGAGGCATTTTTATGAAGGGTATATCTTTTAATAACAGAAGTACAGTATTTTTCTTAATGAGGGTGCAGTACTTGTACTTCCATTTTGCTGTTTTTATATGTCAAAATAGAAAAAACAAATATCTCTGGTAAATGAAAATTTCTCGTCTCTGACCTTGTTTTTCACTTTTTGTTGATTTCATGACATTAATTAGGTAATAATTTTCTTTTCCATAAGATTTAGTATTTTCTTTAGATTCCTGACACATCAGAAAAATTTGATAGCCATCAAAATGTTCAAGTTGATCCATCTACACCAGAAAGAACAAGGCCTACATCTTTGCCACAGAGTCCATTTGAAGAAACCCATTGTGAAGAAAAAATGAGTAATTTTTACATATATGGCTTAATGTGGTCCTGTCTTTTGGCTCAAGTGTGGCTTCATTTGTGGTTGTTTAATTTATTGCTTATTCCATGCATGTATATGGGTCTCAAACATGCAGGTAAGCAAATTTTTGCTGTTTTAATGCAATATATTACTTATGTATTAGTACAACTACTTTAGGGAAAGTTGCCAAGTTTTTAGAATTTCAAGCAAATCAAACCCTGGAATTGTTCAGTCCAGTAATATCACCACTTTCACATGTGTTCTTTTTGTTGTATTACAAATTCTAATAGTTTTTTAAAACATTTTTTTTTTTTTTTTTTGGCCCTTAACTTGATTTTAAAACGTGCTTGTGAAATTTGCTTTCAGTGGAGGAAACTGCTATAAAATTTCTGGAAGAATACAGTATTTTGCAGCAATATTGCTGAAGGAAACAATTGTTTTGGATCTATTGTTAAAGCAATTTTCATGAGAACAAAAAAGCAAAAACTCATTTACGTGTCAGTTTATAGCCTCTCCAAATTACAAATCTTTTTTTTTTTTTTTTTTTTTTTTTTCTTCCTGTAAAAAAAAAATTGCCAAATTGTACCCAGATGGTTACTGTAATACATAAATAAGCACCTTTTTAATACTGTCCTGTAAAATCTCAGGTTATTTGCTTTTCATAGTATTTAAAATATCGCATTTTAACTACTCTGAGGAAAAGCATTTCAGAGCAGATATTTTTTAACAGCTTTCTAAGATAATTTGTGGTAATATATACACTGCTGGCCTTTAAATTTGCAACACCAAGAAGCAATAATCTGACGAATGTCAAAATTACATGAAAGGAAGAACAGGTTGAAGTATGCAAATGATTAGTATTTCAGCGCATTGAGATGCCGCAGGAGGGAGAAACGACAGATCTGAAGTACTGTGTAAAAGAAAAGTTGTTTAGTGGATTTCTCATTCAGAAAACGTTTTTGTAAGGTCGGAGTTTGCTCCGAATATCGTGTTATGCCTCGAATAAGAAGAAGAAATGCAGCATGTCGGAATTCAATAGAGGCATGATCAATGCCTATCGAGAATGTGGATTATTGTTCCGGGATATTGCCCGTCGCACTGGTTGACATCCAACCACTGTGATACAAATGTGAAATCAATGAGTTGCTGAGGGTCATCCTGAATGACATGCAGGATCTCGACTCCCTTCCATGATTAACACCTGAGAGGACAGACAAATTGTGAGGACAACCCTGCAAAACCGTACAACCATATCATGGACCATTAGTCCAGAAATGGGCATGTTTGCAGCACACCCAGTATTCACTTGTATGATTATATCGATGTTTCCAGCAGCGCGGACTATCAGCATGGCTACCATTACTTCAGCTTCCCTTGACAGTGCAGCATAGAAAGAGACAGCAAATCTGATGCACCAAATGACAAAGCTGAATATAGGAGTGGCACAATGTTATCTTTTCAGATGGGTCCCAGCTCTGCGTCTAATATTGTAATGGCTGTATCTGTGTCTGGAGGCTCAGTGGAGACAGCACTTTGCCTCTTTGTATTCGGTATCGGCCTAGGGACCATACACCTGGTGTGGTGCTCTGGGCAGCCATTGGGTATACAAAACGCACATCTCTAGTTTGGATTGACATTAATTTGAATGCAGATCAGTACATTTCTGGCATCTTAGTCCAGTGATTGTACCCCATCTTCGAGGCTTGGCAAACGCCATCTTCCAACAAGATAATGCAAGACCACATATTGCACGTGGTGTTCTGACCTTCCGTGATACATAGGATATTCGGTTGCTGCCCTGGCCTACACAGTCTCCATATCTATCACCCACTGAAAACATCTGGTCATCTGTTGCTGAGACACTGGCTTGCCACCACTCTCCAGCTAATACAGTTGATGAAGCATGTCATAGACTTGAAGCAGCATGGAATGAGTTGTCTGTTTCTTTCATCCAAGCTCAGTTCGACTCCATGTCTAACTGGTAAGGGCTGTTTTAGTTGCCAGGGGTGGCAGCTGTTTCTAGAAATTCACACCACAGTAAACCTCCAAACTGCTTACAAATTTAATCATTTTGTCTTCATGCCATATTGTTTTACGTACAGTAAATATCTTTTTTGTATTTGCTTTCCTTCATGCTGTTGCAATATTAATGGCCAGCAGTGTAATTGAGCAAAAAAATATTTTTCAGTTGATTTTCTAAACAAAAAATTGCTTATTAATAGGCATTCTAAGGAAGTTAATTCAAGTAAATATTTGCGTAGAAACTTCAATCTAATAACGCTAAGGAATTTTGTAATTGCTGTTTGTGTAATCTTTGCTGGCCTTTTGTACAAAATGATAAGCATTTTCTAAATAGGTGTTAATAAGTTAACAGTTTTTTTTTTTTTTTAATTTCTACATTAGAAAATTTATTAATGTGTATATTATTATACAAATTGTTGTTACAGTTACTTATCAATGAAACTGCATTTAAGATTTTTCCTTACTTCTGTTTCTATGATTCTTTTTTATGTTCCTAACTAATTTTTAAAATATTTAAAACATGTACAAGTGTTAAGCTCATGGGGTTCTAACCTTTCCTCTTACAGCTGAGTGTTTGGGACCTCAAAAACTGCTAAGCGAATAACTGCTTTAGCTCAGGAAACAAAAACAGAAACTCAAGAAGGGTTAATTACTCTTTATTTCTCAAAATAAGTGTTTACAGATGGCTCTTGTCTTACAGCATACAGAAAAGCCTCCATTTGGGCTTGAACTCAAGAGTACTAAGGAATCAAACTTAACTAATGCTTAACTAAAAAGATATAGCTGAAGCTATCAAAAATTCTAATGAGTTGGCCCCGAAATGTTATCTAACTGGCAAAACTATTTAGGGTCTGAAATACGGTCGATTGTAGTAATAGCTTAGAGAGAGTGTAGCCAAATGGCAAAAGTGCGCTTGTCAGAATCTCTGGCTCTCTAACGAAGTCAGTGGAACTTCGACTTAAGTACCGTTCTTCCTCATTTGCATTAACCGTGATTCTAAAAACATACTCTGGCAGAAAATTGTAAGCTGAAATTAGAAGGGGCAGGTAAGTAGCTTTAACTAAAAATAACTGTTAAAAACTTAGGATAAACCTTACAAGCTTTATTTCCACTCTCAGATTTTATTCAAATTTCACTTGATTTGAAATTGAAAATTTATCCTGAATGATATTAGGTGCAACAATTATTTATTACTTATATAATTTAAGCTTGAATTTAATATTTATTTATCCCAAACTAAATCAGCGAGTGTGTTTGTAATTGGGTTTTTACTTCTTTTATTCTTATGGAAATTCATGCTTGTTTACTTTAAGGATAAATTCAATTAAAATTGGTCCCTTTAGCAATTTTGCAGCAAAATATTATATTCTTGATGAAATTTTATCATATTGTCTTCTATTACAGGCAAATCACAAAACATGTATTTTAATATTTAAAATAAAAAAAAATCATTATTTGTGTTTAATAAAATATAACCATTGAAATGCAATGCCAAAAATGTGTGTGAAAATGATAACATTGTAGAATTTTTATGTGCATGGTTATTAAGTTTTGGTCCTTCTGAAAATTTAGTAGCCCTACCTCATAAGTACTTGATAATTCATTGCAATACTTTAATTCTTATCCATATATTTTAAATATAGTCCTTTTCTGAATACAGAACATATCCTGAAATCCAGACATCCAGTTAATGAAATGATCTGTTATCCAGACCTCTAACCAAACTTTTTTTTATTAAATTTTCTTTTCTTCACTTTGTATGAGAATGGAGAATATGTTATTCAAGGAAAAGTGTGCCATAAATTGATTTTTGCTTCAGTTCGTTGAGATTTATTTTACCATTAAACATCATTATTGAATCATTCTGCATATTGGTTTACCTGCAGCTAGCGAACTACATTTTCATTTTTAGCCCATGCGTGCGTGCCAGCCAGCCATAGCAGGGAAGATGGGAGAACGAATTAAATTCTTATTCACTTGAGCTCAACCAGCATTGCAAATTGCATTCTTCGTTAACTTTTTAATTTGATGCAGCTTATTATTATGTTTAGTTTATTGTTATTGTACCAAAATAAAAGTTTTAGTGAAGCATAACATCTTTTTTTTAGTCTTTCATTGAAATTATGCATCCATCAGTCAGTTGATGGATATTGGAGTTTTATGTTTACTGAAATGCAGATATGAAGTATATTTTCTTTTAACTCAATGCAGCAATAACAGCATCTAAGTTTTATTGAAATATTTCAATATTAAGTCTGTTCTTGTAACATTGGTAGCTCATGAGAGGACAGATCTACAGATATATTTAAAAATGCTTGGCCTGATTTACAGCCGCTACCTTATTTTGTGATTATGATGATCCCCACAATTTTGAAAGTTTTCATATATTAACAAGTAAAGAGCAAACTTTTCTGTTTAACGGAATATGTGAAAAAAAGCAAAGAAATGCTGATTGAAGATGATGAAAATGAAGTCTTCAGTTATGATGACAATGCTCACCCTAGTATCAGTGAATTAATAGGTAATGAAATAAGTCAAAACAGTAATATTATCGATCTTTTCAACTTAATACATTTGAATTTCATTAGATGGTTATTCAAACAGAGTATTTCTTTATATGGCCTACCCTTTCATAAAGAAATGGAGTAACTGCTTTTTGATTCCTTGGCAAATCCCAAATTGTAAAAATCCATTTCAGTATTTTTTTTTAAAAAAAAAAAAAAAGTGAAAAACATGCTTGTGTCAGGAAGGAAACCATACTAAACTGATGGTGCCTAGAGCCAAGAAAATATGACAAACATAATAAGACATGAGTTTTTTACATGACATGAGTTTAAACATAACAAGACACGTGAGTTTTTTTCAGTTAATAGAACATGCAGAGAAAAGTAGATGAAGATTATATAACTAAAATCTACACTGCAGAGTGATAGCATTCTTGTCATCAGTTCAATGGGTCAGGAAATTCATAGTATGTTTTCAAATCCAGAAATGTCAATGTTTCCAGTGAAGAAAGTGATAAAGAGGTTGTTGAGATACAAAGGTTTCGTTTGAGTATTTATTGGAAATTCTGGATACAGCGATTTCTAAAAT